TTTGTGGACAAGCAAGTCTTTATTCATGATCTTTTAATGTACGCTTGACATAATTCGAAAATCAACGGTGACTGCTTAAGTCGCATTAAACAATTACAAACAAGTCATTTTTTTTTAATTTCCACGTATTTACCTTAAGAAATAATTACGTTACGATTTAATAATTGTTCTAACATTTTGAATTACTAAATCTTTTAAAATTTTTTATTGGTTAAAATAATCATTTAGGTGGGTTTAAAATTTAGTGGTATACAAGTGTGTTTCTGAGCTCTCGCTTTTCGACACTTATATCTTGAATTTCATTTAATATATGGATTGAAATTAAGACCTATGTTCATTGGCTTATCATTGGAAAAGGCGTGACTTTCCGCCAGCGCAGTCAGTTGTCGTGCAAATAGTGTAGGTTTAGCAGTCTTATTAAACTTATTTTAATTGATTGGTTGTTCTTTATCTTCATGTTCCAATTGTTTCTATCATTGCAAAATTTATCTTTGTTGATGATTTGACTTGAATTTCTTCGTCTCTCAGATTCTATGTTATTGTTCACTCTTTACATTGCGTGTTCTGGTAGATTTCAAGGTCTTTCTGGAAGCAATTACTCATAGTACGAATTAAATAATAAGTTGTACGAATCAATTAATGTAATTTTAATATTATAATGACATTCTGAACGTACTTTTGAGTCGTTACTTATATAACAAGGCTAGAAGATTTAGTCTCATCAATTTTACCATATATAGCTTTCCTGTTTCATTTGGTAGAGGTCTTTGTACTGATGATTGATATCAAATTCATATAAAGTAGTGTTACATTGGTCTTTTCTTGCCAGCCATTTTTAAACCTGATTACGTGATGTTTGGAAATGTCCATCTCGATAAACTGCCTTGATATTTTTGTGCCTATTATTCTATTTTAGCTTCTTTCAACTTGAGTAGTTGGCTTGAAAAATTAGACACAGTGGGAATGCTTGAATGATCTTGTTATTTTCTGATGTGTGGCTTCTCTGAAACTATGCGTGCTTCTCACCTAAGTTAGGTTGCGGTCTTTTACACGAAGCCTGCTCTTTGACCTGTCTGTTAAAAAACTTAATTCTATTTTTTCTGTTCGTCCTATCGTATGAAATATGCTGGTCATTAAAATCTAAATTGTCTGATTTGGGACTAACTCTTATTTATCTCTTTGAATACAGTACACACCTCAAATTGGTCAAACTTCGTTTGAGGGAGTCTAAAATGCGTAGTATGATTGATGTCCCTATTATTTATGCTAAATTTTTCTGCTCTTCGTTTAGTATGTGGCCTTACCCCATGTGGCCGCAATGGCCCCAGACAATGCCTGGGACTATTGAAGAGACTAATCATTGGGCTCAGCTTGCACGCCAGTGGGCTGCGGCTAATACCAACCAGCAGCAACACTTTTGGCAACAGCAAGCCCCCCCGCCTCCACCTCCTCCCCCTCCTCCTCCGCCGCCGCCACCGCCGAGATCCCATGATGCTGATCCGCCCGCCACCATGGGCGAGGATCAGGACGACCGGGTTGCCCCAGCACCCCCACCTCCTCCTCCACCTCCTTCCGATGATGGTGATAAGCACCACGATCAAGACGAGCGTGGTCCGGTCCACCCTGCCTCGTTACCTCCCCAGGATTATCGAAGCTTTCCGCAAGAAAACATCGGTACGTTTATGCGTTTTTTCGGTCCGTTTTCGGGCCATTTTCTTTCCCGCGTTTTAAACTCGTCTTGTTTTTTTTTATCTCCCTAGATTCTGATTACCGCCCCTCCCTACCTAGTGGCTCCGCATTTAAGAACGCAACCGGTGGTGGTGGGGGATACATTGGACCCCCTCCTTGGTCGGATGATCCGCCTCCCGAGTTCCCTCCTGCATACTATCCGCCCACTGAGAGGTCCTACTCAGAGCGTGCTTCGGTGTTGCCCCCTCATCGCGACTATCATCATCCCCACTACAATCAACCACCCCCGTGCACCGATTACCCTCGACCACCGCCCCCAGCGCCCTACTCAAACGTTAGTGCATCGGGAGTAAAGCCTTGTTGTAAATCTGTGATTAAAATCCAAATTACTTGGGGGCTGATTGGTATACGTCGCTTCGTTGAATGCGTATTTGTGTCATCTTCCGTTCGAATAAGTTGGGGTGGCCCCAACACGGCCAAACTCGCTACTGATTGGAAAGGTTTTTCTGAAATTCATTCATAAACCTGTAATAATTCCACTACCAGCCATGGTTCGTTGCGTGGTATCACCCAGAAAGCCAGTCTTGTTTGCTTCTAGTTCGCTTTTGTGCAACCATCTCATTTAAACTAGGTTTGTTTGAATTCTATAGCTAAGATCCCCTTCCTTCCTTTCGTCGTTCGTTGTTTGAATAAAGGTCTTTCAGTAAAACATCGCAGTGTGGTCTCCCTGCGATTTTGCCTACCAGCGGTTCAAAAGTAGTACTGTATTTGAAGTGATTATCGCTTTTTTTGTTGATAAACGACTGGATTTCTGCGGTTTTGAGCGGATAGTGACATTTCTTGGTAAATACTTATTTTGAAATCATCGCTTCCTGTCTGTCCCTAAGCTGGTTTATGACGTCTTCTCCCCATTCTGCACAAATCTCCCCTGTTGTCTCCTGCACTACTCCGATTTGCACTCCGCTACCGGATCTATAAATAATAAAATCGCATTCCCAAAACGTTCAACACTGCCATATAACACGTTTTGGTTGTTGTGCACAACGAACATTGATTTGTGCCGAGTTCGTTACAATTTGAGGCAGTCTAAGAGATCTCTCTCATTTGTGTGTGTGACCCTGGTCAATTTGGAAAAATTCCCTTCCTACCACGACCTATCTATTCCTGTAGAAGAACTTCATCGTCTACGACGCTAACGGAGACTTCAGTGAGATGCCACCAGATCAGGAGTGGAGCTACCATCACAGGTCATCGGGCGATTTCGGAATGCCGCCACCACCAGCACCCCCGCCGCCGCCGACGGCTTCCGTGGCGCTTTTTCCCACCGGCGACTGTCCACGCGCCCACTTCTCTCGCCACCACCCGCCACCGCGTCGACACCTCCCCCCGCCTCCCGCCTCCTCCATCCCCGAGCACGTGATGCCCGCATTCCGTTAGTCTGCTTTTTGCATCCATCCATCCGTTTCTAGCAGGAGCATTGGATTTGACGTTTCTGCTGGAAACCAGATCATTGTAGTTCTCATTGGCTCTAAGACCATGTCGCCTGTTGTCTTTGTGTCAGTTTGCCTAGCCAGACGACATGTTAACTCGTCAGATCATGTGCAAGCACCCAAAGCCGTGTTTGCTGAAGCATAGATGCCTCTAGCAATGCGTAACGGTGACAAAACCACCCAGTAAATCGCTTAAATGTGTCATAGGCCTTGAAGTCTTCAAATTTGCATTAATCAAGATGTTTATGGCGAATGGCGGTGTGGAATATGGTGATTTGTATGGGGAAACCTCATCAGTGTTTACGGTTTTTGCGTTAATCAAATTACCACATGGTTGAATAGACGGCATCAGAACAGTGAAATCACCTGTGTGCCTTGTTAGAAGCACATCATTCGAAACTTCAACCAGCAGTCTTTTCAATTCGACCTGACCCTGTGAGTTGGTACCTAGAGGATGATCCCGTTTAGGCAAGCCTTCTGCCCTTTACTAACGTGACTGGCCCATTATCCCATCCAAACTGGTCAAATCAATTTTTTAACAATGAAGGGAGAATTCACTACTCACACACGCACACCGCTTGTTCGACCGCCGTTTCTTATTTTGTAAACAGAGCTAAACATCTCTCACAGCTATCAGTTAGTTTGCCACTTTGTGTTCAGAGCAATCTGCCACAGATTCTCTTCTTCGAATGTTGACTGTGGGGGTGCCGTGTGCTTTTGTACCGTTGTTTTTGTGTCCGCGTTGTGTAGACGAGGCGGCAGCCAGCACCGGGGTTTGGCCGCCCAAGGAGAGCGCCACGTCTGCCGCGGCGCGTCGCAAGACTCTGCCCGCGTGGCTGCGCGACGAACTCGAACGCCTGGAGCGACAAAAGCGGAAGCAACAGCAGAAGCTGGAGGCTGAGGACGCCTTCAAAGAGCGTATGTTGCCCCTTACATCAATTACCAACCCTTTCTGGGTCTATGTATGTCAAGGTCTTCTCGCACACTTAACTGGGCTCATAAGGATGTGTTAATCACGCCGTCAAGTTCATTTATTGTCTATGTTTTTTTCCAAAATCACATGAGTGTGCTTGTGTCATCCTACCACGTAGTTCAAGGCGGTGGCAGTCCATACACCGGGAAGGAGATCCGACGCGATGCCGACGGAGCAGTCGTGATGGAGGAAGAGGGAGATGATGACGAAGATGACGGGGATAATTTAGGTAAAGTTAAAGCCAAAAGTCCATCGCCTCGTGGCGACGTCTTCCCTCTTAGTGGTTCGCCATCACGGCCACCTCTTCCAAACCGCTCGGTAAGCTGCCACCCCCTCTGCCCACTTTCTTGATGCGTCTGGGCCATGTTAGTCATCTCCTGCCCCCACCCCCATTAACTCCCCGTTTCGTCCAATCAGACTGCTGGACCGCTGAACGCGGAAGAGCCCGAAACCATCACAGAGGCCGAGTACCTCGCGGTCTGTGCACGCCTTCCTGAGTCTGTCCGATTTAACGAATTGGTAGGTCCCTGCCACTTTGCCAACGTGACCATGTCCGTTTTCGTGCCAACACGTTTTGATTGCCTACCAGAATCGATGTATTACCCGGGTGCTGACAGACGTCCTGCTTGACGTGACAACGGCCTATGTTCTCGACGTCGCCGAGGAATCGTACCATGAGGCTAGCGACACCGTAGCTTCTTCTATTCCTATGAAGCCGTCCATTGACGACGACGACGCCTCCAACACTGAATCGAGCAGTGACAACGAAGGTGCTAGTGCCGCCGTTCTGGGTAAGTGGGTGGCTGTTGGGTTCGCCTCGTGTGTTGCTTTGTTGTTCAAAGTTCCTGCGAGACGCTTCTTCATACATCTTGATGCGTATTTTAAGGTCTGGATGCCTACGCCAGCGACAGCGATTCCGAAACCGCCGACGTGGACCCCAAACCCGTCCGGGAAGGGGAAAAGCAGGAGACAAACAAGGAGCCTGCGGTTAAGTCCCCCGACAAAATGGATCCGGTAAAAAGTAAGGGGGAAGAGAAGGCTCTAGAAGCGGGCGCCAAAGAAGACCCCAATAAAGCGTGGAAAACTGTTCCACCACCATTGTCGTCGTCTCCTTCCCCTCCAAATCCTTCCCCGCCAGATACTAAGCGTGGTAAGCCTCTGATACTATGTTCCAGCCGAACCACTTGTACTCATGTCCGTTCTTTCCATAAAGAACCCGAAAATTTGGCGCCTTTCGGAGTGCTATTCTCGCGTTTTCCATCCCATTTCAGAATGCAAACCGACAGAAAACAAAGATAAACGCTCGTCTGAGAAACGGTCCTCGTACAGGCCCAAGTCATCGGATAGGAAGGCTGTCGATAGCAAAGATGACGATGGAAAATTGGCAAAGGGCAGCCGAGAACGCCTCTCGCCAGAGCGAAGCCGGAGTTCCCTGAAGCATGCTAAAGCAGACAGCGACAAGCCAACAACCAGTCGTAGTCGGAATCGCGAGCGTGAGCGCAGGCATTCGAAAAGCCGCAGTCGTCAAAGCCGAGGAGAACGTCGACGCTCGAGTAGCCGCCGTCATCGTCGTCGTCGTTCTAGCAGCAGCAGCAGGAACCGTGTAAGACGTCGACGCTCAAGGAGCAGACGTCCACACAGTCGAAGTCCTCGTCGTGTCCATGACTCACGCAGTCGAAGTCGACGTCGTCGACACCGTCGATCCTCCTCCTCCACCTCACCATCCTCTTCCACGACCTCCTCTTCCTCCCGCGTGCGCTCAAAAAGGCAACGGCGTTAGTTTGTGTTTTTCCGTTGCTGGTTTTAGGCAAGTTTGGCCACTATCTCTAGTAAGTCGGAAGTCGTTTTTAATCTAATTACCCCTTCTTTTTCTTTCCCTCCAGATTTTCCATCTCAGATCTTGTACAAATTGAGCGGTTTCTTTCGCCAAGACATGCTTAGCGCTTCCTTTTTCCCTAGCTCCTGGGTTTAATTATTTATCGGTAGTGTGAGTTAGCATGCAAGATTTCTCGAAGTAAATCCTATTAAGTCAGCATTGGCCACTGTTCGTGGCCCCTGAAACCTAGACAATCAGCTGACTCACGCGACTTCTTCAAAAGACTTAAACGGTAAGCAATAAATCACCGCTGTGTTTTTTTTAGGGTCCCCTTGACATCCCGTTCCCCTAACTCCCATCCTACCTCCCAATCGCGCATTCTAGCTAGTCGTTTAATCACGCATCTGACTGCGAGTTTAGATTGGCTCACTCGAGTCGGTGAACATCTAATGTGTGTCTCTTAACCAATCAAGCGCCAGCTCAGGGGAGGTATGGGGTGTCTCCCCTTTAAGCTGTGGAAAGTTCTGCCGGCCCTGTTTCCTGTGATCGCGCCTTTTACCACCAACCAACCCTCCTTCATTGACTAATGTGCCAGATTTGCCGGGCAGATTTTAGCAGAAAGCACGCTCTTCCCCGCGACAGGCCAGGTCGTTTTGCGGAGTCTCAGGGTGTCCCCATTTTTTCTGCCTTGTAGACTTCCGGCGTCGCTCGTGTAAATGCCCATCGCCTGTATTTCAACATCTGCTACACATCCTGAGAACTAATGGGAATCGAGTTACAAGTAGTTGCACTAAAACCCTCCTCTGTTTCTTCCTCCCCCACCCCCATTTTACGTTTACAGAGTATTTGCAAAACAAGAAGGAAACTTTTCCACTTCGTGTCTTGGTTGTGCTACCTGTTGGGAAATCACGGGAGGCCGGTTGAATGAGTCTCAGTCTGTAGCAATCGTATGTATACGTCTCATCTCCAGCTAACTGCGTCAACATGGCTTTTCTTTTGAACCCGAAGCTACCCCCACGATTTCTTTGGGCGCAGCCACCGAGTGCTGTCCCACGCTTTTGTTTAGTTTCAAAAAATCTTGTCTAAGTTAACTGGATTTTTATGTCGGAATGTGCGTAAATAGAACATCTCTTCATCGATTCACAGAACCTAAGGTAGACTGGAGATTTGCGGCCAGAGTTCAAGTCCTGCCAACTCCAGCCTCGTCGTCTGCGGCGGTGGCCGTGGTGGAGTCCTGTTGTGTTTCGACGCCTTGTGGTGTGTTCGCGAATGTCGCATGTGGTGACGGAGTGCGTAGACTCCATCGCGACATTCTCCTTACCAGAGTCTAGAAAAAAATGGCAACTTACTGCCAGAAAGGATGCTGGAACCATCATAAGCGAGTTTATGTGGATGCTCAATTCGGTCACTCGCGTGTAAGTCCTACAGTTGTACGCTCACCATAACGGTGTTGAATTGAAATCCTGATCAGGAGATGGCAAATTCTAATCCGGAATGCACCATAAAGTTAACTGTGAACGCGCTTTTTGTGCACTGAAAATCCTATTGATCTGCTCAGTCGAGGCAGAAGGTGCGTGGACTTTTTCTTGCAATTCTTTAATTTGATTGGACGATTTCATGTGACTGAAATGCATGTGCATTGCTGAGATGTCTTTTTCGTGTGGCAGTGATTTCCTATAATTTGCAATGTCCTAAATAGGCATCGATCATTCAGAATAAACTGTACTCATATCTCATCTACTAACCAGTTTTTTTTACAAAACAGAATGAAGGAATAATGCTTCTCGTTGCTCTACAAAAGGAGCCTTAAACAGCCAACCAAAATCTCGTTGAGTTCTACTTCTCAATAAGGACCAAAGTCTACTCCACAAGTTAATTCTTCAGCTTTCAAGTTGAGAAATGTTACGAGGCAGTTGCAGGCTTTTACTACGTACTGGAGGGTGGCCAAAACGCTGTTTGGTGAGAAAGTGTAGTGTTGCTTGGGGGCTTGCACACAATGACGAGGAGTAGTGTACTCAAGGCACATGAGTGTATGTGAGGGCAGTTAACTCATCCGCCTCGTTCGGTAGGATCTCCTTACCGTTTCTCAGAACACACCATGTTTCTGTTGCGCGATGAACATGGTACAATTGATTGGGTGTTAACTGATTGGTGGGGCTGTTGCGCAAAGTTTATGACCTACAAGCAAGCTTGGTCCAAGCCTAATTACCATCGCGTGCCAAGGACTGTCAATTGTTGCATGACTACGCGTGATTTTGTTTAATTTTGACATTTCTGACTGTGCCGACTTCCATCATGTTTGTTTCTCAATTAATCCTGCTTCAATAAGTTAACAGGTTGGTGTATCAATTCGAAAACGTAATTTATCGTTTCAGTGGATACGGAAGACAGTCACGCAAATCCTTGATATTTGCATCGAAGGACAATTGTTCCTTGTCTTACTCAGTTCCATCTGATACCCTTGTGGTGTTTTCGAAAAATGGGAGTAATTTGTATTTCAAGGACCACACTTATACCAAAATCGTTTCACAATTATAACTATTTTCAGCGTGAGGCAAATTATAGTTTACAGCGAAGCAGTATCTTGCTGTGGTACAACAAATTACCAAGAAAACTTCCATAAAAAAATTCTTGTGTGATTTATGCGGCGTCCGTTAATTTTACGGAGATTAATGCTACAATTTAAGATTTTACAACCGACCTACTAAACCATACCAGACTCTCTAACATTCAACATTGTTCCTCGTTTTGTGGGTTATGGAGAACGTTTGAACCAGTAAAATGGCATTTCAGACATGGTCAAAACAACTGCCTGCGTTTAATTTGGCTAAATAGTTTTAAAACAACGTCACCTGTGTAAAACTGGTTTCTCGACAGGAAAAGTGAAAATAAACGTGGTACTTTATGATAGCTACGGTAGAAAGCGCGTCTTACAGCAATAACCGAGGGTCGTCTGAGTACAGCATCCTCGAGAGCAAAGCTCATCTTCCTGCTCTCCTTCCTTTCGAAGGCGATCGCCGCCGAACCGTATAGAAGTCCCTCTCCATGTTCAGCAGGCCCAGCAGGCACGAGGTTCTCGGGAACTTGTAGGTCAGCTGACGATGCTAGAAGCTCACCCAGTGGGTCATCGTCAGACTCCACCGACTCACCCAGTCGAAAGAACAGCTTATCAGTGGGAATAGCAAATGAAATTCGCCGTTGTTGAGCACCATCCTTTGGTTGCGTGTGAGGTGATTGTGTCGGCATGCCATGACGTAGGTCCACCATCCAAAGGCTAATAGCTAGATTACGCTCCATTAGCAAAAGCAAGTCAAAATCTTCATCGTCGTCGCCAAAAGGATTAAGCAACGACTGAGCAACTTTGAGCCAACCGAGGTAAAATGTTATCTCGAGAAGAGAAAAGACTGGGACGTAGATCGTGGGAGTGTTCTTAACGCTGGTGGCATTAGTAAAGGTTTCGTTGGGATTTGTTGAAAACTGTGGCATTTCTGGAAGCTGTCTTGGGAATTGGCTACCAACGAGAGAGATGATGAATATCGCATAAACTCCAATGTTGACCACCTACGAAATGCACTAAAGTCAGCTGCATTTCTGTACTCCAATAATTTTAAAGCATGTAAGACCCCCACTTACAAATTGAAAATACATATTTGTTTCGCCAAAAGTTATAATTTAATGCTAAAATACCAAAACAAAGAGTTCATAAAGCTCTAGATTTTAACATACTTCAATATTAACCCAACTGAAGTTATAAAGGCTGCCCTTTAATTTACATCACCTTTGACACCACATAAATATTTTATTTGTCTTAACTTCCATGATACAAGTCATGCCTAATCTCTATTACACAGTGATTGATGCTTTAGATAGCTGGTGCAGAAGGAGTTAAAGAAACTATTATATCCGAATAAAATTAAACGATCTGCCCTTCAACCTCTAATGCAATCGCATCATACATCAAAAAGTTGAATACTTCAAGTCAATTTGAAAGTAGTTTTGGCGTACGAGGCGCATTTGTAACTCACCTGTGTGTAAACTAGAGGAATCGGAACCCTATCATAGTTTAAAAGAGTAAAGAGAGAACGGCGAAACTTCAAAATTTCCTCGATTAGCGCGTTTAGATGCCTCTCGTGGGTTATGTATCCTTTCAACTTGGCCCGTTTTACGATGGTAATAGCCCACATAAGAGGAACGTAAAACGGATGATAACGTGGATCGACCTGTCCCATAAACTCCTGCTCCGCCCTAGTCATCAATCCACTTGATATGTAATTGTCAGCATTTTCATAAACCCTTCGGACATTTGGTGCAATTGTTTGAAAACACATGACGGCTGCCAAGTTAATGTACCTTGCAATGCTTTGTCTAATAACTGCCACTTCGTCAGCAATAGTAAGTAAGGTTCTTCTGTCGGTAATATTTGCAGGAATCTGGATGTATGCACATGTAAGCAGGCTGATGCCATCAGATGTCGGTAGGTATTTGAATTGATCAATCCATCTACTGACAACTAGTGTTACGAAAAATCCCAGAATAAATGATATCGGCAAGGAATTTGTCTTTGAATGTACGTAATCCAAAAAGTTATGTATTTGTTTGTGGATTTCGAGCATTCTGGGAGACGATATAGGAGAAAGGTGATAGACAAGCGCAATTGTAGAGTATAATATTGAAAATACTAACAAGTCGACCCAAATAAGTTTATATACGCTTCCTTTCCAACGACACAATAGGCGGAAAAAAGTGCCGTATGATGCAGTTGCAACAGCTCCTGAGTAGGAAATAACCATTATCAATCCCCGCAGTCGTATTGTAATCCGAATTGGCAGGAATAATCAAATACCCGAAGCGTCCAATCCAAGGTCAAACGTTATAAATAAGATTAACAAAATGAATATTGCCAATTTTCCAGTTCATTGATTGCAAACTCATCAAAAAATTTTTTTCCTCGATTTTCGATATTAGTACATTTACCTATACATTTAGGGCAATATATATGAATATCACTGAGTTACTTTCATCCTGCATTGGCAGGCACTAGAGACACTTGAATTAATTGAATGCATAAAATATATATATTTTCCTGTTTTACTGAAAAAAAAATTTCCCTGGCAGTCACCTCTTGAATCAACTTTCATATTTTAGGTTAATCGTTGAAGTTTTCAAGTCTGCTTTTTTATATTAAAATCGAGTTTGACAATACTTTTACGTGCTTTTTAAAAATATTTTGCTCGTTCTAATTATTGTGGTGCCGTAATATATCTGAAGAATGTATAATTAATATTTTTTTGATAACATTTGAAATATTGGGTGAGGTTTGCAAGTGTGTAATGACATGATAAAACCATTTTTAAGTGTATCAAGGAAAAGCCTTTTATCATTGTCATCAAGGGTGAACATCACAAAAAATTCCAGTGGATGATTCACCCATGTTATTTGCAAAGTTGCATGCACTGAGCAGGCACTGTGAATTTTCCGGCTTTTTTGTTGCTGTTGTCAACGTGAGTTGTTTAATTCCAAAAAAATCGATAAGACGTGCAATTTGTTACTTCCTATATAAGCCAACATATTTCTCTTGGAGCGATGAGACCCATTTAGAGATTATTTTCCAATTTGAGGGATTTTATAATACCTCTACCTTTGATAATAATTTGTTATCAATTATCATGTCCTTAGTCGCATCGTCTTTTTCCTTTAATCAAAAATTCTAAGCGAATAATGGTTTTCCTCGCAGTGCATTTAAGAAATGTTTAAGTAGCTATTGAAGGACTTTGTTTCTTTATTGGCTGTTGTAGAATGTTGCTTCATGCTTATCATTCGCTCTCTATTGCCTGTTAGCTGGGGGCGTCATCACTCCCCACTTTGCCTTGTGATTACCTATCATTTGTTGTAAACGTCGTTAATCTTGATCGACTCGTCTTTGACAGTGTGTTTTAATTATGGCTGTGCCACGGAGTCTTATCATCTTTAGTTTTGGGGAGATTATTTTACTTGCTTTGAGTATGTTAAAAAAGACCTAATCTAGCGACACTTGATAGTTGCTACACCACTTATTGTACTTCAGTTTACGGAGCCTCACCAGAGTGGATTCTTTCCTGGTGACGAGTCAATCGCCTACCCACAGCGCCCTAATACTGTGTCTATGGTCCTTGCTGCATTCTTTTCGCTAGCAGCACCATGTCTAGCCGTAGGTTTTACTCAGTTTTAGTATTTTCTAGTATTTTGTTCTTGAAATCTATATTGCGTTTCGTGGCAAATTTCCCCGTGATCCAGAAACTGGGCTTCCTTCGGTAAATTTTCCGTTTTTTGACAGTGTCTTAAAGGTTATTTTACATTTATATAAACTCTTAGGCATGTCAGCAGTTTCGTTTGTTGCCATGTTACTCATCGTGCAAGTTGGGAAGGAAACAATTGGTAGCTTACGGCCGTTCTTCCTCGAAGCTTGTGTGCCAGTCAACATCACTTCCAATAACTACCAGCCCAAAATTTTTTGTTCTGCTGATAACGCCCGGCTTATTGAAGAAGCCAGGTTTGTTGAGTTTTATTTGTGTTGTTCACATGATTAGTTATGTTAAGTCCTTAATTTTCTTTTTTTAAGAATGTCTTTTCCATCTGGCCATTCAGCCTGCTCTGTTTGGGGGGCAACAATTACATCAGTAAGTCTCGTATTGTTTCTTTATCAACTTCTTCGAATGCACTCCCAGATGTTACTGTTGTTGTCTCGTTAGCTACCTTGTTCTTACCACCCAAAATAAATTGCTCTTACTTCCTGTTTCAGATATACTTACAGCTGAGGTTTCCTAAATCTTCGGCCATTATGTTAAAGGCTTTCTGGCAGACAGCACTGTTTACCATCGCTTTCTACATTTGCCTCACTCGCATTCAAGATAATTGGCATCGTGCGGCGGACGTTATCACTGGCTCTGTTTTGGGCGTTCTGGCATCCACCATGACGGTTAGTTTATTAATTATCATGCATTAATCTTGATTCTGCCAATTCATAAGTATTCCTTGGTGATTGGTTAAATTATGTTACACCACTGTTGTGAGGGCTTGATTTATTTTTATAAGCTGGATCAGGTCTGTTAGAGTAGCTTTAGTACATTAGTCCGATTTGATTAATTGCATGAATTCGAATTTGCTTGCTGGTGGCAATCAAACTTTATATTAGTTCCCCAAGTGATTTTGACTTCCGATGCTTGCATTATTCTGCTCTTGTGGATTTTTCTCACGGATCTGCGATGATGTTTTAAGCATAAGTTCCCCATCCTCAGTATCACAGCCTCCATTGTTGTTCACACCGCAGTTATTGTTTGTTTTCCCAATACCCATCGAAATTCTAATCCTCGTGGCCCATTCACTTTAAGTCAGAGCAGTTGTTCGTGCCACACATCCACACCGTCATTCCATATCAGTTTTCAATTTGCCTACGTCTCAACTCGCCCACATGGCAGTTTGAATTGCCACTAAATTGCAGGAAATTTTTGACTTGCAGAGATCTCAGTCAACAACTCCACCTAACATTATGTGTGTGTGTGTGTGTTATCACTCAAATTGGTTTTTCGGTAGTACAACAACTGACTCACTTATCTGTGAATCTAATTTCCGCTATGTGTGGGTGGGCTTCACAATGGGCGTAGATTGGGGTTCAACGTAGCAACAATTTTTGTCGAATCACTAAGTGACTTGATTCTCAACGGAGTATCTAATTATTTATTTGCCTGATTGTGATGTTGATTTTAGTTTCTTTTTATGCAACAGATCTCGAATGCAATTCAGGGGGATATTTACCCACATCAGTCAAATGCACACTTTTTTACGCAGCCTTGTTTCACAACTTTGTGATTGAAAATGCGTTGTGGTCCCGAGCATTCCCTTATTAAAACATCCGGTAATCGTCTTTTGGTGCTTAAAAATATGCATTTCAAATCACGCCAATAACAAATAAATCGACTATCGGTGGAATTGTGTGTGTATTATGCGGCAATTTCAGGTAATTGTAGTGCTTCATTTGCATCCGGCAGAGAAATTGATTTAGACTTGAGTAAATTCAAGTTTGCACACAAGCCCGCATACCTGCTATCTTTCCCACGCTTCTGCAGTCATTCTGTCGTCGTTCGTCTATTCCCTTAGGTCGCAATGCTTAAACACAGTTGAGCTCTGTCGCTAGAACACATCTAAATCCTGCACGCACACGCACATAAAGACAATTTCCTAGAGGTGTTATTCCTCTTCTGCTAGGGAATGTTTGTCGAGAGATTAATGACTTGGAATATAAAAGTTTGTACTTTGAAAACCCTGATCCGGCCTTGGTTTGACCCCTGAGGAATACTGTAAAACGACCCATAGCAGGTCGTTCCCTTGTGTGAAAATCCACACAATGTCGGCGTCGCATGACATTGCATTGGAGTAGTCATCGTTGTTATCACAGCTCTGTGCTCGCCACTTCTATTCTCAATTAATCGATGCTGTCACGTGCATTCTGGATGCTTGAACTACTTCCTTACGATCGGATGTTTTATAAAACTGCACATTTGAGCTCTTGGTGTTATCGTTGTTTAAATTCCGCAATTTCCTGTTGTGTGGTTTTACTTGAAGTTGTGCATTCCTCGCCTGACACACTTCCACTCAACCTAACACCCAAAAGGCGCGTTTCGTGGGGCGCTGAGAAACGTACTATCCACATGACCAGCGGGCTACATACGTTTTTCTGGCACAAGAAAACTAACTCGATTTTGGTGTATTTCGCTTAGTTTTGGACCCCCGCTGGCAAGTCAATTGTCGAGGAGTCATTGAGAATGCGAGAAGAAGAAGCCGCACTGAATGAGGCCTCGATTCCCCTCTCCTCAATGTAGACCCCAGAGCCTGTCTTCCCTCTTTCCATCTTCTACTTGACTTGTTTCTTTTTATATTCTTGATGCCATATCCTAGAAAACCGACGTCTTGTTTTGTCATACTGCCTGACTACATAAATACGGCCTTCCTTTTGCGCCACCCTCTTGCCAGTTTAAGATTGAGTTTTCGATGACTTCTCTGCCTAATTTGCATACCAAGTTGGCTTTAGGCGTTCTGTAGTGGTTTGTTTTAAAGTTTTCGTGCAGTGTTGGATTGTGCGTTCGCGAAATTTTGGAAGCTAAAAGCGTGGGCCATCGCAAATTGGAAAGACGTGGCGGGAGAGGTTCTAGTGATTGTCAACCTCAAAATGATTGGCCTCAAATCGGCTAAGTAGCCAATTCCTAAAAAATGGGGCCTTTGACTGCTTCATTTTGTGTTATGTGTTGACGAAGCTTCGGTTCCAATTAATAATTTGGCAGCCTCTTTGCAGATATTTCTTCTGTTGATCCTCTGAGGAGGATTTCGATTTACTGTCTTCACTTACTGGTTTGACTAGTAGATATTAGCTGAACCCCCAGTGCTCTGTTGTCTTGTTACCACGTAGTACGCTGTTTCGTAAACACACGCAACGCCAACCCGAGTACACTCGCGAATGGAGTGCCCGGCTGCACTACAGATTAGATTAGCTGCAATTACTCGGTTGTATCGCTGTTCACTTTTTAGCAGCCTGACTAGCATTTTTTGGACAGACAGGAGTCGAGGAGTCTATTGTCGCAGGCCAATTAGCAAGTGCATCCAGGAGGCAGCGGCATTTGTAGGGTCCTAAGTACTGTTTGCTGTTCACTTGAGAATCAACAATGCGATCAGCTGTAGGTTCAATTACATATTGCGTCCCTGTAGGTGTGGTTCACACGCGTGGGCGTTAATCTATGGCCTACTTTTACGACGTAAATGCATTTACTGTTGAGAGGCTCATCCGAAGGTCAGTAGTGGTAGGTGTCCTGTATCGAGCTAAGACTCGTCTTGCAATTCACTTTCATGGATGGCGCGCATTGTTCTAAGGCTAATGATATCACCACAAGATAGTTAATTTAGAAAAAAAGGAAATAGGTAATGCTTAATGAAGGAGATTACACATCGTGTACGAAATAACCAATTCGGAAGAGACAAAATTCCAGTCATTCGTATAATATATTCTTCCTAACTAATTGTTTGTGCCCTGCGTAAATGCCGTCATCCAAGTCGATTGTGCGAGTGGAATATCCATCGCGAGTCTGAGTTAAGCAACTCATAGTGGATACTTCACACCACCATTTTATTTGGAAAACAGGTATTTACAAAAGGCCTTTCCCAGAGACCGACAACAGCAACAAACTAACAAATTTGGCTTTATGTACATCGCTGAATATCGAATGTCGAAATCAACAATGAGCAGGCACATCATAAAACACAAAATCAGCAAGTTCATAACAAACTCCTTCGTGCAGACTTCTTCGACGACTTATGGGGGCGTTCACCTAAAGACCGACAAGAGACATTTCGATTAGTAATGCATATTTTTGATGCATAGAAATTGATAGGCATTAATAGGGACAAAATAAAACTGAAGAGGCAGGCAGGAAGATAACTCGGGCCGAAAGAATCAATTCCATAAACACATCCACCAAAAATGATGGTCAGTGAATGAATCTTAGAACCGAGAAACCGCTGAGATGTTTTCACGTTTGGCCAGAATATAAGGAGAGTTTAAACACAAATTTAAGGGACTGTGAGTCGTCAAACTGAACTCGAACTGCCATAGGGGACAAGTACTAACTCAAATGGATGCAAAAAGAAGGCGTACATACCTTCATGCTTGCGCTTGTGGCCGGATATGAGCTTGCGACCGGAGTATTTGGCACGAACTTGGGGCTCTTTCGTTTCAATTGGAGTCGTAGGTTCAACTGACGCCCCGGATAGGTAGGGATTGAATCCGCCATAACTGACTCGCAAACCAACATTAGTGTTTATGGTACGTCCAGGCACGTGCCGCACGACCGGACTGTTATGTGAAGAAATACATTTAACTGTCAATTTCAGGTCGATAATAGGCGATTTTCAATCACATTAAAAACAGCAATTCATGATTCATCTGCTTAAGCTAGAGGGTCAACTGTTTTATCATTTCATAAAAACAGCCAATGGAAACATTTGAGGGACTGACCAGATTCAATGAAATACACATTAGAATAGAAGGCAGCATGATGCACATGAAATTTGTAAACCCACACTACCAGCCACAATAACCAGCATATAACACAACAAAAAGTACCCACTTTTTGGAAACAACAGCGAGTCGCTGAGATAAACTCTCACGAACCGACTTGGGTAACGTAAATTGAAAGTCTTCTTCAGTCGGCAAGTCATCCAATTTTTTTGGCGTAGCAAGCTTTTCTTTGGCAATTAGAGTTCGTTTCATGAAGTTCATTTGAAGTAAGTTCTTTGAGATTTCAAGCTTCTCGATGTCAACTTCGGACGCCATTTTCGTTGTGACCAGTGACGTTAGTTTGGAGCGTTACCTATTCGTCAATTTGTTTTTCCACAGACTAACGAGACGTTTAAGACCCTGCAAAATTATTTTACATTAATAAATTCCAGACTTATTAGCAATCACACTGCGTTATAAAATGCATGTAGTTAAGGCTGTATTTATCGTCTAATACACATTCTGTTCCACTTCTTTGTGTGTTTATCCATTACTGACTCGCTCATTCTGAAGTCCTCTAGATGACCTTGCCAAATAATAGCCACTTAGCCAAATTCGCTCGCCTCCGAGCACATGTCTCATCGAGATGCCAGCGAATATCGGAATCTTGGCTGCTGAGGTTTATTTCCCCAAGACTTTTATTTCTCAAACTGTTCTTGAGAAAAGTGATGGGGTCCCTGGTAAATACACTAAAGGCCTTGGACAATTCTCCATGGCAGTTTGTGATGATGCCGAGGATGTTAATTCCCTCGCCCTCACGGTGACCCAACGCCTGATCGAACGTACGAACCTAGATCTCAAGAAGGTTGGATTTTTGGAGGTGCGTTATATAGCTGTTTTGCAATACATGCTTAATTAAACACCAGACGTTTATTAAACCTAGTTTAGTACAATTCGTGAGTTACGTTTTCTCCATTTCTTTTTTAATTACAATATTTATTGGGGATGAAAGGTTGTGATCTCCAACCTTCAATCGCATTCATTTTTCCCTAATTTCATTTCACTGCTTAACGATGATGTCGATGAAATCCACCTTCACATCTTCTCAAATGTGGTCGTCATCTAAGTCTCTTGATACAGCTCTGATTTCTGTTCTTTGATTGAAATCCTTTATCCTTGCTTGATGTACTATCAGAATTCCTAGTACTAATTATGTGTTCTAAATCTTTGAAGCTACCGCTTATCCGAACTAGGCACCCGCCAAAGCTCACTCCTATTGACTGATATTGTTCATTTATGATAAGCTGTTTGTTTTCCTGTAATATATACTTAGTTTTAGTCCTCTAAGTGCATTCCCAGCAAATTTTTTATAGCATCGGTTACTTGTTGTCTTATTACAGTCGTTGGTTTTAATGTAAATTATGTGCTGTCGTCTGATACGTTAGTGTACAGCTTTTCCATCTACCTCCAATCATTTATCTATGAAATTCTCGTCGCAGTTACGTAACATTGTCCATAAGCAGAAAGGAGCTGATTGGATAAGCCACGAGTGATAAGAATGAGTCAATTTGAGCCAAATTCTGCCACTAGTAATGGGATGACAAGAAGTTTTCATTGACACAAAAGTGATGAATGTTCAAGTTACGTCGAAGTCTGGCTCGGCTGACTCACTTTGAGCCGTGAATCATCGCCCCCTATCAAACTCAACGGGTTGTTTTTGCGAACGCTTAATTTGGCTATTTTAATTTTCGTCGTAGTCAACTTTTCCCCCCTCCACTCCAACATTACTTGTCAGCTTTTTAAGGGCGAACTGTGTTCTGGCTAACTTCGTCATCTCTTGATGAGATCTCTCCCAAAAGCCCACTACCGACTTTTATTAGTGGTTAAATCAATTTACTGTCTTGATGAATTGACCATGTTTTTGCAGGAATTACAATAGGTAGCCGTGCGTAAACCTGACTTGTCTTGTCGGGAGTGTAGTTTCTATGGCATCGAGTGAAGTTCATGTACGCATTTGGCGCACTGTCGGCAGGGTACAGATATGTTTGTCCTACACATTAGACGACGCCATGTGTTGCCCTTCAGCCGGCTAATTTTTTTTTTTAATAATGCGTCCTTTTTGCTTCCCAACCCACACAGGTCGGCTCGGAGTCGTTGGTAGACAAATCGAAGTCCACCAAGAGCGTGCTAATGTCGCTCTTCGAAGAGTCTGGTAATTTCGACTTGGCCGGAATCGACGTGAAGAGTGCCTGCTACGGTGGCACTGCAGCCCTCTTCAACGCCATCAACTGGCTTGAATCCTCTTGTTGTGATGGTGTGTTGCTCCTCTTGTGCCTAATTCATAAGCCTCTTGCCTCCTTCAAAAACTTTTGACATTGCCAATTCCCCCTCACCGTAGATGTAGTTCTTCCATGTAAATGACTCCATTTGCAAGTCATATTCTCGAATGTACCCTTCTTACTTAACCAATCAGGCACTCCAGGAACTCAAGTGGCCCTTTAGCTAGCACTTTTCTCTTGTGCAACATAATTATCTTGTGAACAATTGATTTGTCGTTGCTCACGTAACATCTTGTCGATCCGTATTGGCATAGGTGACTCCTTATGTAGAGCATGTGTAAACCAACTCTCGTTGTCTTCTTTGCTTGAAGGTCGCTTGGCTGTGGTTGTGGCGGCCGACATCGCGGTGTACGCCACGCCGAGCACCCAACCAACGGGCGGCGCCGGCGCTGTTGCCCTTCTCCTCGGCCCTGAAGCCCCTCTCGTCATTGATCCAGGTGGGTTGTGTCCCCCTCGCCCCCCCTCCCCCACTACGTCGGTCTCGAACCCTGAACCTAGCCACGTGTAGCTTCCACGCCAAGCTTGACTCTTGTCCCCCCACCCCTGTTCGCAGGTCTCCGTGTGTGCGCGATGCGACACCACTACGACTTCTACAAGCCCGTCATGCGTTCCGTCTTCCCCGAGGTCGACGGACAACTCAGCATCGCGTGCTACAAGGAGGCCCTTCTCACCTGCTACAATCTCTATCGATCCAAGGTCGAAAAGGCAACTGGTGAGTCACCTTTTCGACGCCTCACTTGCACCCTTGTCCGCTTGTTGGCTAACTTGTTTAAATAGTCGTGTGTGTGTGTGTGTGTGTACTAATGCTAATGCGTCTGTCTCTTCAGCAGTGCGACTCAAGCGACAGTTTGTGGCGTCGTGATTTTGTCGATGATGCACTCTCACCCTGAATGCCGCGTCTACAATGTACTTGGGTTGTTCGCCGCTAGCCGATTTGTCGATCAAAATGCGGGCCTTTTGTAAGTAACGGTGGCGTCAGCGACAACGCATAAACTTGCCAGAACAGAATAATAACAAGGGCCAACCGGATCGTTGGACTGCGTATGCGTGTAATCCTGACAATAAATGCTGCGACCTTAATTAGAATAAACAGTAAATGTTAAACGGTAAGCGTAAACATCAGGTATGCTTGCTCGCCGCCATACTTCAGTGAGTAATTTGTAAGTGGCGCCTAGTAGTACGGGTGTGAATTAAAACAACAGATGAGTCAAAGCTAACGTGGCAAGTGCTGGCAGGGGAGTTTCGATCAGTCTCCTCGTTCTGCTTTGTAGGCCTTCACGCGAGCATCGTCGGCGACGCGTCCCATTCGGGGTTTCCCATCTACTTCGCGTGTTTCCACTCGCCCTTTTGCCGATTGGTGGCCAAGTCGTTCGGTTGGCTGGCTCTCCAGGACACCAAGGTCGCTCTCTCAAGGTCACGCGCCTGCCTCAACAACAACAACAACGCCCCCACCAACAACAACGCCTGTGAGACGATTAACGGCAGCGCACCTGCTGAAGTCGCCATTGTCCAGCAGCTCGCTCCGGTTGTCCACGAGGCTGACAGGTGCGTCTAGAGACTCCGTAGGCCTGTTTTTTTGACACCGTCATCCTAAACCGCGGTACTTTCCCCTGCTTGTTGTAGCACACAGGTTTCTCGAGAGGTGGATGCGCTGTGCGTGGCAGCGACGCGCGATCTCTTCGCCTCGAAGGTCGAACCCGGACTGCGGATCTCTAGCCAGGTGGGCAACATGTACACCGCCTCGCTCTACTCCTGCCTCATCAGCCTCGCATGCTCGTAAGCTCCGTGCGCTTTGTGTGTGAACCCACTTTGCCATTTGTTGTCACGGAACTGATAAACATATCTACTTATGTGTTGTAAGTAGTTATAGTAAAACAAACGTTTGCACATTGCTCCAGAGTTCCCGAGGCGGAGCTGCGTGGTCGGCGTGTCCTGATGTTCTCCTATGGCTCGGGTTACACCGCTTCAATGTTCAGTTTGCGCATCTCCGAGAAGGCTGATTTTGGCTCTGTTTTCGGTCTGCCGTGCAACTCGCCATTGGATCGGTTAGCTCTTCGCACGCCTATTGACCATGCCCAATTTCTCCAGCGCATTCAATCCCGTGAGGCTTCTGTTGACAAAGGTGGGCACTTCGAGCATTTACCTGTCCGTATTACCGCGCAAGTCGTAACTTGAAAACTCATAAGGTCGATTTTGATTGGTTACCTCAAGGTCATGTTGGCGAAAAAGCATCCTGGCCAATCAGAAATTGAAGGTGCAACTAATGTGTCCCCTTCAACGGACACGTTACCCTGTTTATCATTCGAGGTTTAAATTTAACGGTAAAATGTGCTACTTAATTGATTTCAGCGCCAGTGGAATTTCCATCTGAAGACCTTGAGGAGCGCTTCTTCCCAGGAACTTATTACCTGGCCCGCATCGATGAGAAGCATCGGCGTTTCTACCAGCGAACGCCCACTCACTGAATTGCCCAATCACCGTGTTCCCGGTCACAATTCCTCAAATTATGAACTGAGCCCTAATTTGGGCGCTTTTTTTAATTGTGCCATGTCACCACTCGATTTGCTCTCTTGCCTTGCCTCTATGGCCACAAATGCTATTACAGATATCGTACTACTGATGTGTTGAAGTAGTTTTGACAATTTTCGGGGTCTAGTAAGCTGCTGTCGGTGGTTTTGAATGACAGTGTAACGCTTTGAGTTTTTGATAAATTTTTGATGAGGGATTCGTTTTAATCGTTTACAGAAGCACTAGGGTGTTTTGTGGGTGATTTCAATCTATAATATTGATATTCTGTCAAAGCTGCGTTAATTTGGCTAAGTGAAACTGTTAAAACACTGGCGAAAGCGTTTCTGTTATCCCACGTGGCACTAGGTCCACGTGAAGCTAAGCCATGACATATTACTTGCAAAGTAGTGAGCAGTTTGTGGTATTTGACTTCAGCGATCACTGTGAAGTTGGCTCTAACCAACGAATTCGAAAATCATGAGAGATCCACCCGCAACTTGAATCGGTAACACATCCAGACTGGAGTTAGCCGATAAGGGTAAAGGTTAGTCGATATGAAGACGCTAAATCGGATTGATGGACACGAATATTAGCGACAGATAAAAGCAGTGTTTTCAGACAATGTAACGTCCATTCAAACTTGGCATTTCGCTGAAGAATTTCACGGGCTAAAAAGGTTGCTCTGATTGGTCGAAATTCGGCACTCAAATCCCCCTTCCAATTAGTGACATTTAAACACTGCGAAATCCATTTGCAAAATCAATAGCTGGTTAATTAAATGAATTTCGCATAGCCTTGATCAGAATTCCACCAACCAATAGCAAAACTAGGCGGTGTGGATGCGCTTGTTCCAAAGCAATGCACAAAAATCGATTAAGCTAATTACGGGGCGATTATAAAACATCGGGAGGGGTTATTCTTAGTGATGCAGCTGGCATGTGCAGGTGTCAGATGTGGCCGAACGAAGATGTGGCTATTGACATGGAAGTGAGAGACATGTCAAACTAAGGCGAAATACGCGAGTTACATCTGAAGTCACGATTTTTTCAACTTGACCAATCACCGCCACACAGGACTCGGACTTGCCACTTCTAGGTTGTCAGTTTCATGTGTTTTCAACGCGCATCTCCTACTTTTAGCCACAACGATTCTACCACAAAGTGACCCAGTTCACGTCTCATGCCATGGTGATTGGGGTACTTGAGGTGAATTGTATGTTTAACATGGAAGATTGTTCTCACCAAGCTTTCTGTCTCGTTGAAATAGCGCCAAATTCACTCACTTTTGTCTGGCAAAGGGTTTTGTATTACTAGCGACCTCATTCCTCTGACACTTCACTGTTGGACTGATTTGATTGGCTAATGTAACCCTGCTCCCACGACCACTTGCTCACTGTCCAATCATCGCACAGAACTCAGTCTGTAAACCTGCTTTGTAGATGGTGGCCTTCTTGGCAGTTCGTGTAGAATACCCGATCCCAAGTATGAATAAGACTGGTACAACAGAACAGGCTTTATTGACCATTCACAAGCCAGAACCACACGTCAGGCGCTGTCCATCCGAGTCCACCACGCTGGCCAGGCCGCTCATTGTATACTGCACCTCATTCGTGTCCTTCTCTGGTTGGCTGGTTACATTCCCCGCATGCTATTGGAAAGCAGAGAGATACAGGGTTGGCTGTGGCCAGGTGGCCCAATATGTCTGCGCCCTGATCCGTCGCCACACTGCCTCCCCCTCAGCAGTGGAGCTGTCCTCAGCTTCTGGCTTGGTCCACCGCACTGTTGTTGATATCCAGTGTTAAAAAAGAAATATCCAGTTCGACACTCCCCGCACCCCACATCTGGCAGGATAGGGGCGCAAGCGAATAGTAGTCGAGTGACTTTGCTCTTGTAGACTTGCAAGAAGGCCGCGTCATTCATCGCAGGATCCTGCTACACTTGCAGTCCAGCTGGCTTCTACTGTCTATGCCGTTGTCGCTGAGTTTCCAATGCCTCTTCAGATGCAGTAGTCCTAATTCCGGGCAATGTCCATGGATCCAATCAGTGGGACATCGGATGGCCGCCATGACATTCAGCTTGCATTTAAGAGTCATTGCATTTGCTGTCCATTTTATTAAAAGGGCTGGGGTTCGATTCGCCTTATTCTAACGCATCCGATGACGTCACTTATTTTGATGCATGCATTTTCACGTTATCCACAGGAATACTCTTCCTCCACTTGATCTCTCCACTGATTTAGCATGACATGTGTTTAAAATTGAAGCATACTCTTGCAGTTCATGCATTTGCGTTGTTACCATTACGAGGGATGGATGCACTGGCGCCGGTGCTTAGGATGGAGCACTTTCAGTAGATCGGCAATCGATGGACAGTTTCGGTTTGAGATGCTCGAATTATCAGACTCGTATTTCAGTAGTATTGGCAAATTATACTCTATGTTAAGTCGATTCGGAGATGGTTAGAACGGGGGTGCACGTTAGTTAGCAATCGGTTAATGCTTAGAGTTCGGTCAAAT